TCTATCTTACCTCTTTTATATACTAATAACTATAAACGGAAATGAATAGGCCTAAATAGTCTGGTTTGATGCATGATTGACGCTCTTTTTTATCACACTGATTTAGGACAGGCATTACGTATGGACGTTATCACACACAAACACACACTAACAAAAGTAGAATGATCAACATGAAAGATAATTGGCCAAACCTTTCTATAGTCATTTATACCTATTCATTTTTGTTTTTTACTTATGAGTATATACTAGAGGTAAGATAGAGTCGGATAATCCTCTTGACCTAATGTTACCGTGAGATTATTAAAAGAATAAGTTCCAGCTTTGATGATTTCCGTCATATGATGGACGAAAGCTCAGCCCGTTTTCACCTGAAACGGGGGAGGATATCTCATGGACTAAATCAACCTGAAAGTCGTATTCATGCCAAACGGCTGCAGTACAATGGAAATCTGCCGTCGTCTTTTGATGAGATCAACCTACGAATCTCTTCTTCATTCTCTTTCGTAAGCGATGAAGGTCTCCCCTGTTAAAAGCTTAACCTGCGAAATCATGACCTTACTGTTCATTATACAAGATTAAATTCTGCCTAGTTGGTGTGTGGTGGATGGTAATAATAGTTGATCTTGCCTCCACAAAGAGAAGTAGGGAAGTGCAGAAAAAGCAAATCGTGATCGCCCAGCGCCGGCCAAAACAGCTTATAAGAGCGAAAGCCACTGGGAAGCTGACGAGGCTGCCGATAACGGCCGAGAAGAGAGAGAGGTAGCCATCGCGTGCCAGCGGGAGGCAGCAGTTCGCGTAGTCGCTGTCCAACGTGGTACCCGGGTTGGCTGGATTTTTTGTTAGTGACCTCGTAACGTCCTGCAGAAAGGAAAGTAGGGCGTAAATCAGAAGTGAAATGGAAAAGTATTAGGGGACATTCGTAGGTAGCCCTTAGTAAGCAACTGTATCCTCTATGCTCGGTACCATCCATACCTCATAATGGACGTGCATTTGAGATTTTCTTCTTATAGGAGCTTAACTTATCATTGGTTGCGTAAAGTGATATAGGAGTTTTTGTGAATTTTCTTACAATCAGATGAATACACTTCACGATGCAATTTACTTTCACTCCTTCATGATAGACTGTGGTGCAGTTTTGACTTAGCTTCTGTCTCATCAGCACCTCCAGTGGTAATGGAACTCGATAAGAATTCATACCACACGTACGTAATCTATACAAAGAAAAGTTTCATAATTATTGAGCTTACTTCCATTTCGAGTGAAAGTGTTGGGTGAAGAGATTCGAAGGTCGGTTCCAA